TACACTGCTAAATTAGGGACGGCTAGCGCAGATAGCCCTCGTGTAGCTTTGCGCGAAATTTAAAAACAAACAAACCAAATACTGTTAAGCACCCAAAATGCCGTCCTTCTATATGCTATATATTAATATTGCATCTACTTGCATACATCTATTCAAGGGAATCAATATCTAGCTTTTTAAATCTAACTTAAATATCTCTTGTTCTCGGACTACCAATACTTCGTACAAGAAAATATTAATGTTCTAAACGTCTTTAATAATACTATACTACCATCAGGAACCTAATATCTCTCCACCATTGATATACAGTCTCTTTTCCACGACCATCCCTTATAACAATGGTTTCTTAGCTTAAGAGCATTGTCTGAACAAATAAGTAAGTATTCTATAACAAATACATTTTTAAGATTACTTGATCTTTTCTTTAAATTAAAAATTTTCTATTCAATGTCTCAGGCGACAAGCAAGCTAAAGGAGTTGCCATGGGAACAAAAATGAGCCTTCATATGTTAACCTTTTTGCTATAGGTTTGCACTGATTCTAATAATTAACACTGTAAACTGATAATCTTACATGTGAAAGGAGTAACCGCAATAAGTAAAGTAATGGCAAAAAATATTATGTGGAATTGAACTGAATTCCATGAATTGAAGGAAGAGACAGGACATAAAATTAACAGTTGAAAAAAAAAGCAACACTTTATTTATAAATACAACAGTTTCTTTATGTACGTTGCAGAATTGTTTCTATGTTCCTCTTTGTTTGACAGTTTTGGATTCAAACATAGTGACATGTAAAAACAGAATTCATATGTAACTTATGTCTCCCACTTGCAACTGGCCAAGAGGCTTTTTGTTGTATACCAAAACTCGTCTGATGCGATGGACAATGAAAGACAAACGTTTTTTGTTTTGTTTTTTCAACTCCAGGGACTAGTTAGCCATCAAAGGATTATTCCCTCTTTTCGGCCAAGAGACGGATGAAAAATGAAGTATTGAGGATATCAGTGATGTGTAAGAAGGCCTAAAGCAAATGATATGGCTGTAACTGATGTGAAAGTTTATTGGAGGCAAGAACATGTCATTAGTGAAGAGCGGTAAATGGAAAAAAAATATTTGTTTGAAGTTAAGCACAAAGCTACACAATAGGCAAACTGTGCTCTGCCCACCACGGATATCGAAACCCGGTTTCTAGCGTTGTGAGTCCGCAGACATACAGTCCAATAATGATGAGAGATTTAAATGGTCAGTGAACCAGTCTATCATCCCTCTGGATATATGTAATTGGGTAGATTCCGTAGAGAAGAGTCTATATGATTGGGATCATCAAGCAAAAACAGCATGACCTAGAGATTCAGTAAATCGGGGATAAGAATTTGTGAGAAAATCGAACAGGTATGAAAAAGAACATCAGCAAATATTATGGTATTTTGATTGAAAAAAAAACACCACTGAACATACTAGATCCAAAGGTCTCAAAGATAGATGAGAATCGGTAGGAAGGTAGTTCTTGTGTTGGACTAAATAATTTCAAATGAAAACAGAGTCTAAGAGCAGAATATATATATATATATATTGTCATTTCAGCTAAGCTAAGGATATGACATTCCAGAATCATTAGACAATCATAATTTTTAGAGGAACGAACAGAAGATTTATAAGTATAGTGTAAAAAAAAGGGGGAAATTTAATCACCAATATGTTCTAATGCAGCATGGGATGAGATTTATTCTTTTGGTGAATTAGGAGCAGGTTGCAGTATGGTTTGTTTTCTAGGTGAGATGCGTAATAAAGGTAACGCCTAGATATTTAACAGAATCTGAAAGCTGAATGGTAGCAAGAAGATGTACGTTGAAGAGTCGAGAATCATGATAAGGTTTAATTTAACAGTATAATTTTATTTTTAGTGCTGTTCTAAGTAAGACACTAGACTTTACGCCACCACAGAAAACAATCAATAGCCTGTTGAAGAACACTGTTAAGAGTGATCATGGTAGGGTTCCTAGCACGTAAGGCTGTATCACCTGAATACTGAAGTAGATGGACAGGATAACCACGTTTGGCACGTCTGCAACATTGAACATATAGTAATAGTATAGAATATTGTTGAACCACTAGAGAGAGGTTAAATTGTATATACAACTGCCTGAGGATAAAGAGGAAAATAATACAAACATTTCTTTGAGACGCTATTTGTATTTATGCAGTATAAAACTTTAAAGGTTACGGTTTAAACGCTGAAAACTGGCGAAACATTATAAACTAAATAAGCTTAAAAGTTCTGATAAAAATCATGTAAACTATCGATGTTTCTCTTTGTAATTTTTTTTTAAATTCTACTTAATTTGTTATTTCGGAATCAAAGTCATAGATTTGTAAAACGAGCATTTCAGATCTATCTTTATCTCCAACAATTCACTTCCCAATATCTCTAACTTAGAAGAATATATATAAAAAACATCTACAGATTTACGTAATTTTCATCTCAAGTTTTAGACCTATTGGTTTCTAATGCATCATCAGCTATTGGACTTTAAACCGCAACTTTTAAAGTATTGAACTTCATTTATAAATAGCGTTTCAAAGAAACTTTCGTTATCTCATCGTCCATCCCAAATGATGAGTTCTGGTAATGAATGAAAAATCTTATGGGCAGTGACTTGTGGAAGTAAAAAAAATACAATTTTTACAGGATTCTGATTTTGGTTGCGTTATTTTTGAATTTCGCGCAAAGTTACACGAGGGCTGTCTGCTCTAGCTGTCCCTAATTTAGGAGTGATAGACTAGAGGGAAGGCAGCTAGTCAACACACCTACCGCCAACTCTTGGGCTACTCTTAGCCAACGAATAGTGGGATTGATCGTCACGTAATAACGCCCCAACCGCTGAAAGAACGAACATGTTTGGTGACGGGGATTCAAGCCCGCAACCCTCAGATTGGAAGTCGAGCTCTTAACCACCAGGCCATTTCTGATTTTGAATCCGAGATAGACAAATTAAGAGGAATATGAAAAAAACATCTACAGTTTAAGTGAAATTTAATATAAATGTTAGGAATATTGATTGTCTTGATTCGTACATTCACATGGTCACGCAAGTTTTGAAAACATATAACTTTCATTAATTTCATTTTCATAAGTTTTACTAAGAGCAGTTGCTCGAAACGTTGCTAGACAAAATAAATTTGTTTAACGTTGTGTTTTTTACAGTGATTTTATTTTTATGCATTAATCTCCCAACATTTTGCGGATTCTATTTCTTTGAAAGCTCGTTTTGGTCTTTGATTTGATTTTTATTGTTATACATATGAATATATATTTTATTAAGGGTCTACATTTCATTCTAATACACATCAGGTGAGGCATTTGGTTAAACTACTAGGATGTTTTGTAGGAGTCGATGAAAGCGACTGGTAAAAAAGTCATTGAAACAACAAAAACACAAGCTGAAGAAAGAAAGAAATTAGTAGAAGAATTCCGCAAACAGCTGAGCAACATTATTCAGCAAAGAGAAACGGATTTGAATAAAGCCAAGGAGGTAGAAGAACGGTTACAAGTAAGTTAGTCACTGATATTGTGAGTATTATGAACGTGTAGAATTACAAACTGAGCAGCGTTACGGAATTGGTTCACCTGCATATGTAATTTTGTTAAGAAGTGTTTCATGTTAAGATTAATCAATGCCTAGTGGTTAAGGTTAATTGCAGTTTTATGCAAATTTTTTGCACGCAAGTAGATTTACCACTGAGAACGAACTAAAGCTATTGAAAGTTCAGTCAATAAAAATGCGGTTCTTACGGGAAAAATCTTTGATTAACATTTAATTCAAGACGCATCTTGTGTATCCAGAAACTTTCCTTAGTGTGTAGCATTTCTTTGCTATCGACACTTCCCAAGATATTGAAGTGTTTAGAAGTGACATGTGTGTCACAGTCCTGTAAACAGTGGCGAAGGATGTCACTTCTAAACACTTCAACATCTTGGAGAGTGCGGATAGCAAAGAAATGCTACGCACTAAGAAAAGTTTCTGGATACACAAGATGAATTAAACCATCTTTGCTCCTGAAACTTTAAATTGATCTTTGCGGGAGAAACTTTTATAAATTGGATTTCTGTTCATTAACTCTTAAACGGATGTTACTCAACCAGATAAATAGATATAGAAATCAGGCGTGGTTCGGCACTGCCATGCAATAATTTACCCTTCAAGAATTTTCGCTTTAATTAGATGTTTTAATACTCAAGCCTGCTCTTTTTAAAGTTGAACTTCTCACTTGTTTATATAAATAGAAGTTGATTCAACAACAGCAGAAACATCAGCAACAGATGCGGATATCTCATTGTCAGCGACTGAAAACCTTGAAACAGCTGGGGGAGCAATTTTTCCAGGTATGTAATTAAAATTTCTTTTTTTACGTTTCAGTATCCAAGTTCAATTATTACCACACGGAACTATTGAAATGTTTGATATATCACGATAAAGATAATTAATTTGCTAAAAAAACCCATAAAGATTGTTTAAATTATTGCTTGTTGTGAGATTCCATAGTAGAACTTTCGTACTTCCTTTTCATAAAACTATTTTTTAGTTCTTGTTGTCGACCTTCCCTTACGAAATGCAAGAAAATCATAAACTCGCGTTTTAGCTTGACTTGGACGTTCATTTTTACAAATATGTCGTTATCGCGTTCTAGGAAGATCGCTATAATACATTATGTTTTGAAGAATACTATGTGTAAAACAAAATAATATATCTTTATATCTTGGCAGTTAAACAAAAATTAATCTTTTCAGGGTATAGAGGAACTGGAGAACAAACACGTGAGCCAATATTCTTCTGTCCAGGCAGAAATGCGGAAAGAGATGGCACTTCTCCAGAAGAGGATTTTAATGGACACTCAACAGCAAGAGATGATGAATGTCAAGAAGAGCTTGCAAAGCATGCTCATGTAGAAAAAAATATATACCTATTTTGATGTAGTAGTATGAGTAGAACGTTTTCCTTTACCCTTACTTTACTGCTGTTTTTTATCATAATATATCATATTGTAGGCCTTTCCGGTTTAGAAGTACTAATACATATTGATTGTATTTGAGACTTTTTATGATGTTTTACTGGAATTTTGTATTCATATTAAAAAAATACAATATTTTCTGAGGACATTATTTTATTCAAATCAAGAAATATGTTCGATAAAAGAAAAACAACATTATTTAACAACAATATTATTTTCATTCACATGGCATTACAAACAGTTTATTTAACTGGATTTAAGTTAAGCAGGAAAAGAATAGATTTGACATGTTTTTTCAATGATAGTTTAATTATGCACTTGAAAAATACGCTAATATTAGTTTATTGATAATACTTTGTATTTCTGTAAATAAACTCTCACCCTTCTTCATTTATTGCCCTTGTTTTCATTTAACCTATAAACAGGCTCATCTACATCTGATTTAGTTTGTTGTTCAATGAAGGATTATGAGAGTGTTTTGAGTTTCTCACGGCTGATCAGTGCTGTATATCAAACAGAGAAACAAACTCACAAGACACTGTAAACTAAAATAATCGTACAAAACGAAATTACAGATTTAAAATGTTTCAGAAATCATTAACAGGGTTAATAAGGAAAGAAGAAATGTCTTAAAATTTGAAGAAAACATATTTTCTAAACAACATCCGCTAAACTCAATCTCACATTCAGTTCCACTCATTTGTTTGTCACAGAAAAACTGAATATAACATATGTTTATTACTAGGCTTATGCTATGCTGTTTCTTATTCTGTAGCGTGTCTATGGTGTGGTGTGTGTATGGGGAGGTGGCATAAATCACATTCAAGCTCCTCAAAATTTTGGCTCAGTAATTTATTAATCTGTTTTTTAGATAAAATGATTCATCTAGTTTATAAATGTGTTAGTAATTATTCATAAGTTACATATTTTCGTATTTGTATGTTTACTTATGTATATATATATTACACATATATTTACATATACGTATTATCATGCATCTTCTTTCTTGGAGGTGATTTTCGTTCACCTCGAGCTAATGTCAGGATTAAAAAAAAATATACGTCAATGATGAATTAAAAACATTTTTCTATATCATATGTCTTTTAATTTCATTTTGCAGTCATTCAGAGTCAGTTTATGACTAGGGACAGCAGCGCCGTCATTTGAAATACATTGACAGAGGATAACGCTAATTCCACATCTAAGAAAGTATGTTTCTCACAGTCCCAAAAGGGGTTACCATGAAATCAGTGCTAGATAGGCCCCTGTATCTAACTGTGCTACACACGGGCGCTAAATATATAGTATAATATCTATTAACTCGTTGTAAATAAGAATTTTGAATAGAAAATTTAATTTTATTTCGTTACTCTGACGTTGTTGTACTAAGGTGTGTTCATATTAAGTATATCAAAACATAAGACGAACTTGTCGTTAGTGCCGCATAGATTTCTCCGAACTCTGTAACTAAGCTAGTATAGTCTTATAAGTCATCGTCACCGTTGTCAACAGCGAGAAAGTTGATAAACAACAGAAAGAATTTCCGTGAGCAAATGCTTTCTACCGAAAATTACAATACTAAAACACTTGAGAATATCTAATTATTCACCTATCTATCCGACAGGGAACTATTTTCGAAATGTTTTACTGTTTTGTCCATAAATACATTGAATTAACATACCATATATTTCAATTTACGTATATCTTCACGTATAAAGTTCTTTGAAGATATTTTATGGGTAAGCAAACGAGTTCATGATAGCATATAAACGTTACATAGAAAACAAAATTGTTATCATTATTTGTACATGTACTTTATGGGCAATTAACTCAGAATGGAATGATACGTGAATGACTATAGACTTTTACTAATTCGAAATGCATTGTGTGAAAGACTGGCGTAGTTAGTGTTACCTCACAACACATCCATGTGTGTTTTGACAGGCAAAACTTATTTTAAAATAATTAAAAACAGATTTGATCTCTATAAACAAGTGAGTGTAGTATATTGGCCTATTTATTCAAATTTACTTGCCAATTGTTTCATGTTGTAGGTTCTTAGAAAGTAAAAACTAAAAGTGAGGAGCAGAGAATTGTTAATTGCTTTTCCGTGTCTTGTGTATTGACAATATTATTCTGCCTAAACTGGATGGACGTTAAATGAGTGCCAGTTATTTACTTCCAACTTACATCTGTACTATAGCTTATCCAAATTGAAGTGTTTCTTCTTTTTTTGAGCACTGGTCGTTTATAGAGATTGTTCCTAACAAATATAGTAATTGCAAAACGTGTATAGTTTTTAATTCAATCTTTTTCTTTCTGTTATTGTCATCTGTATTCTCGTTTGATCTAATCATCATAAGTATCTTTAGGACGATACATATTAATAAACGTTTTCAGGTAATAACTTTTTTTTATCTCCACCCCACCCCCTTAACGTTTCAAAACACTTATTTATACAGTATGTATAGAACCATAGCATTTATCGTTGTTTCAAAAAACATTGGCGTCAAGAGTCTGAAAGATTTTGAAAGAAATCAATGAATGAATGAAATAAAAATTTTAAAACGCAGATATTGTAATTACAATTTGCGCGTTTCGTAGCACCTGCAATAATACCTTTAAATTTCATTACATTGTTCCTAAATACAAGTTGTTCGAAAGGAACATAAAATGAGCCTACTTTTCAAGTTTCATTTAGTGGTATATAAAACATCCGGTTATGTCATTAACAGCTGAACACCAGAGCCACTTGAATTGCGTGCACTATAGCTAATGTTCTGCAGAATTGGCTGTTTGCCCTGTAACATGTATCTTAGAATAATGTTTTTAAACAACGTATCTATATACTCTCTCATCTTTCCGAATACTAAACACGTGAAGCGAAACCATCCTGGCTAACTTACAAATTCAAATAAAAGGTAACTTAAACAACCATAATTGCACACAATGGATGGGAACAAATTTAGGCCACAGGCCCGACCCACAGCAGTCTGAATTAATATTATAGTTGCAGGAATGCCTCAATGAAATTTAAACAATAGTTCCTAGTTCCCACGTGCATTTAACCGTATTACAACTAATATAAAATAATTTGTGTGAGATATCGTATTTTGTCATTAATACGAGCACAATCACGCGACTAATATATTCAACAAGTATGCAGTTCAAGTGTTTTTCCCAGTTTTATGATGAAATGCAATTGTATAGATCTATTTATCTGAAGTTTGGTTATTTACTTTTATATAGTTTATTTGTTCAAAGTAATGATGGTAAATACTGTTCAAAAGTTTTAAGTTGTAAAACAACATTATACGATTATGAAGTTTATTAGTAAGCTGCCAGCTTATGGAATAGTTGAGTAGTGTGTACTTCAAATAGTCTTGATTTTTTAAGAACCATAAAACTATTAGCTATTTTGAAGCAACATTTATTTTCAATTTTAAATTTTTTTTATAACATGATGAGAAGTAAGGTAAATATGAGCATTCTTGAAATTTTTGGTAAAATAAAAAAAGAGTGGACTTAACATACACCTTTAGTAATATATACGAGGTAAAGGTTTCGACTCATATGTTTCTACACTGGCAAAACAAAATAAAAAATATGCAAGAAAATAAACTGGATGACTTCAATATTTATAACAATCTAATCAGTTTAAACTACTGACAATGATTACTAAATTTCAAGTTATATTTACTCTCACACTTCATCATATATAATTATTTAAAACAAATTTATATTTTAATTTAAATTGCTAAACATAAACACTGAACATAATATTCACACCATCACCTTTAATAACATGGACTTACTAGAACGTTGTCGAAGAAACGAGGTGCCCGTGATGATTGATCATCCTTTCTTGAAGAGGATGATAAGAGACTTAATGAAAATATCCAGAAAAGTGTGTTAAGCTGCTAATTACTGTAGAAGTAGCATAGATGTTAAAGTTTCCTTTATAGTTTTTTTATTATTGTTATTATAATCTTATAACTAATTTTACGTTCAAGGTTAAAGGGATCGGAACGAGAACCTTATACGTAAATGATATCGAAGACTTCCGATATTGTATTTTTGTACGAAGTGACTTCACTGTTGGATAAAAAATGACTTAAGAGAGACAACAAAAACAATGAATCATAATTTCACACATTTTTCTCGATCTGAAATTCAGTAACTCCTAGTAAATATTAATTAGTGGCCTTTAATTTCTTTGTCTTTGATAGTTATAATATTCATCATTATGGTAATATTATTTTTTACTAATTGTCGTTTTATCTTTAAGTTGCTAATTTGCTGTTTTCTAGTTAGTGGAATTCGAACTTGGGACCTTGGAACAGAAGGTGGGATAATTAATCATTGGACTGCTCTTTATTACGCTTTTTAGTAGCGGTAACCAGGTGCTTTTGACTGTAATGCTTGGTTTTTTTTACTCTCTTCAAGTTGGGTTCTTGGTATTATGGTTCTGATATATCTCCAATGTATTTTATGCTTATTTTCTTCAAGTTGGGTTCTAATATCTCTCCACTGTATTCAATGATTTATTTTCTGACATATATTTGTTTTCAATTACTAAATTTTCAGAGTCTCTTGTGGTATTGGTGTCATTTCGATTCTTACTTTATCGGGTCTCATAGTCTCTTCAGTATATTCATTGCTACATTTACTTGGAAAGCTGTAAGTTACATCTTACCGTTCCATGTATACCAGTTGGGATTTTAGAGTGTTATAGTATTTGAAATATTCTCTTAACTCTATTCTGAAAGACCTATGTGATAAGGATGAGTGATCAGAGATTTTATTTTATTTTCATTTATGTTCAGTATTCTTGAGGTAAACATTATTCACTCAGTGCCAAGGATATAGTCAGGGTCTTTCTTTGTTGTTTCTTCAAAATTATAAATCCTCTGCATCCTGAAAACTATGACTCCCAGC